AAGCTCTTTCAAAAAGCTTTATTTAGCGACATTTAACGACGTTCACGCCGTAAGCCTTTTTTCAGCACTAGAACATCATCCATAAATTACGTACGTTTAGAAAGGAGTGAATTATATACAACAAGATGTACAAATGCATAAGGCAGCTAACCAGTTTCAAAAAGGGGAATCCGGGTAGAGGGAGCGGATCGACTCTCCTGAGTTCGTTTATCGCTATAGGGGTCATGGGATAGAGATGTGGAAGAGTACGTGAAAGTTAATGAAAGTATTACGAAACAATGAAGCTCTGGAACCCTCTGATCATAACTGAATTTTAGTAGTATAAGATCAAAACTTTGCAAACTATACATTCAGGCGAAGACCGAACTCAGTGGCTGGCAGCTTGTACGGCGGCTTCTGCGATATGTTTGGCCAAAGGGTAATAGGGCAATAAAATCAAGGGTTCTTGTTGCGCTATGTCTACTAGTCGGTGCGAAAGGTTAGTCATCGCGTCGTTGTAATGTAAGACAGCGTCATTTTGAAACTTTCATTAGTCTGAATCTTTTTCAGCTTGCAAACGTTTCTGTACCATTTTTATACCGCGACATCGTCAACTGTTATAATGAGAAAGCACCTACTTTCATACAACTCACATTCGACACGGTTCCTAACGCTATTTTCACGGTTGGAGTATGTATAATTATTGCGTGTATGTTTTCCATTTATCCATTCTTTTCCATGCAAATTTATGACATTTGCCTGATTAAGAGTGACATTTTGTCGAGCAGTGAGGCGTTTTCAGATGGTTTGGCACGAGCATCTTCTGCGTTGATGAATGAGCTGCGGAATGCCGTTTTTGCAAAAGTCGCACACCATTCAGTACGAAGCATTGCGAGAAATATATTCCTTCATTTACATTCTCTCGATCTATCGTTCCACCTCAACCGACAGACTGGAGCGTTGTCAAAGGCTATAGGTCATATCTCTTTGTCTACTTGACTTCCTATTAATTTAGGTTTACAATTTACTTTTTAGATCGCGGCACAAGAGGAATGAGCTTTGTTCTCTCATCTCTGGTGTTCAACATTGTTCCTACTGCTGTGGAGATCGGAATGGTGCTTTTTATTGCTTTTCAGCCCCTACTCAGTCGAATAATGTTTCCCTGATGAAGAGAAGAAATGTTTCAGGTGTCTGCGATTTTTTGTGGCACACTGGGATCGGAGTTCGCTTATATGACGATGGGTAGCATTGGAATGTATACGATCGCAACATTAGGGATTACTCGGTATTCCAGATGTTTATTTTGATAGATAATATCCTATTTCTAGCAAAACTTTTGATAGGGGTAGCGGTCGGTGTGCTCTCTCTCCCAAGCTCTTGTTCGTTTTTGTTTCTTTGCGTTTATCATTTTTTTTATTCCTCTCTGTCGCTCTACGTCCCTCCATCGGTCCTTCCTGATGGTTTTATTGTCATTACCCTCACTACACTTCTTCTTTCTTTATTATGTTACCTCTGTTTTCTATGTGTATCCTCTTCAAATTCCTCTCTCTTTCTAGTAGCTCCCTAATCTGTCGCTTCACCTTGTTCATGTATCGTTTTCTTTGAACTAATTCGCACTTTTTCTGTATTCTTCATTTTTTTTGCTTTCATTTTTCTACTTCCAGGCTGGCTAGTGCCAGTGTGCCTCCCATTGCGCTTCCTTCCTTTTGATCTTCGGTAATTTACAGCCTCTACATATCCTTTTGCCTCTCTGCTTTCTTATTCCTAACAATTTTGTCCTTTCAACTTTTTAGTTTCTCATGTCCTTCTCGTTTGTCACTTCCTCCAGAGAAGCACTCAATGCGAAATTGCTCAACACATGCGTTATACTGACAGAGGCGTTGGAGACCCAGTAGCTATTGTGTGTAGAACACAGAAAGAAAGATAAAAATGAAGTAAAAACTTCACACCCCTACGCAAATACAAGTATCTGGAGGCCTAAACATGAATCATCATATTAAGGTGGCGGACAAAATTTCGCCATGAAATGAATCAAGCTGACAATGATGCTGGTAATAAAGCAGTTGACTCCCTCATAAACTACGAAACAGTCAAGGTAAGCTTCAAGGAATTTCGATCTTTCAACACTTTTATGATATCTGATTGCTAGTCCTAAATAGGCGTCCAAATTGACATTAGTGCTGTATTGATAAACACTAATACGTCTGTAGAACCGTTGGGCCAGTAAATTCTCTCCCTTTTCTGAGTTGAGGAATAAGAGGGCGGCTGCCTCTGGAAATGATTGAAGTAGCATCTGACAACTTCGATTTTATCTGTAGTAGTAGCAAAGTGACCGTTCCCTGCGTCTTAGCCACTCCAGCTATGAGTGCTTTATGTGCACTCCTATAGCTTTTCTTGTGATAGCGTAAATTGATACGAAGCTAATAAATTGTCTCTGATGGGAGGGTCGAAGCGGATTTTTGTTGCGATATTTTGTGCAAAGGAGTGATAATGGGTTAGCACCAAATTTTTTCACGACCATGGCTCATTTAATTGAGAAATTGATGAGCAGCTTTGAATCTTCGGGCCTTTAGAAATGCTGTTCCTTGTTCATACATCAAGCTAGCAATGTTGTCGACAGACTAGTGGCGAAATTTTGGAAAAAAAATGAAAGTAGTAGTCCAGGTATCACAAAGAGCCCTGTTTTCTTCTTGAATTCTGATTTTTTTCATCAACAGTACTTCAACAACGAGAAGTTTGAAGCGGATCGCTACGACTTCTACCTGAAGAAATTTGAACATGCGTCCTTGAAAACGACATCATCTCTGGCATTATTGAATTTTACACAGAATGCTATATTTTCCGCGGGACTCATTGGTGTCATGTATCTCGCTGCGAATAAAATAGCAACAGGTTCGTGGATACTTGGTTTGATAGATTTGAACTGATAGACTTCCTAACCTTGTCTGCTTTTGTTGTCAGTGTGATTTCGTTTCAGGTGAAGCGACGGTCGGAGATTTAGTACTGGCAAACACTTTACTTTTCCAGCTTTCGATGCCCCTCAATTTTCTTGGTGCGTTCAAGAATATCTTAATGTAGCACTGTGTCAATCTCTTTTTTAGGTTCTGTTTATCCGGGAAGTTCGACAAGGTCTCGTTGACATGAACGCTATGTTTTCTCTTCTGAATCTGAAGTCACAGATAAAAGAAAAGCCAAACGCAAAACAGCTTGTTGTTCAAGGAAATGACATAAGCCATTCAGGTAAAAAGTCAAAATTAATCTTTCTTTGAAACATCGTTCCCTAGAATTAATTTGCTGTTTAGATAAAAGATGTTCATTTTGGATACTTACCGGGAAAACCAATTCTCAATGGTCTCACCATGGAAATCCCGGCCGGCAAAAAGGTCGCAGTAGTTGGTGGTTCTGGCTCAGGGTAACTTTCTATTTCTCTGATTCTCCCAATTGCTTCTTGGTTCGAGTAAAAATCTCGGAAGAATGCAGATTACTTTCAGTAAATCAACACTGGTACGTCTTCTGTATCGACCTCGATTAAAAAAACTCTACGCGGATAAGTGCACATTCGTTATAGAATGTGCATGGAATTCATGACTTACTCTTCACCTCAGAAAAGTGGTTCTGTGTCCCACAGGTAAAACTTAACCGTGAAGAATTGGCTGTTGCAGTAGAGCTTCATAGACTATTTTTTCACTTGTTGAAGGATTCCGTATTGTTCCACGACACGATTTTCTACAATCTGGCATACGGGAATCCAAACGCCTCTCAAGAAGATGTTTTCAAAGCTGCTAGGTTGGCAGATCTTCACCACTCTGTCGAAAGTATGCCGAATGTAAGTTTTTGATCAATTTCAACATATCACTATTGCAGTTACCCATTTTTCAGGGCTATAACACGATTGTTGGTGAACGAGGGCTGAAATTATCCGGTGGCGAAAAACAACGAGTAGCGATTGCAAGAGCGATTTTAAAGGTATTTTTTTTATTTTGTTAAGCCCTTCGCCTATATATTAACCAGTTTAGCTCCGCCCGCTACCGCGCGCATTGATAGAACTGACAATCGATGAAGCTTTAGGTTTCACCGCTAAATTATAGCTGCTTCGTTAAATGTATTACTGTCCGTTGCATAGGCTGCCCATCTTGGCTGTATCTCACTGTTTGATAAGCGCAGTGAAGTGCACAGCTAAAGTGATGATGTAAACAACCACTATGCGTCGAGTATCGAGGTAATTTAGCGGTCGAATATCTCAAAACGGAATGCCTAGTATTCATTATCATATTTATTCGAGCATCCCATTCATCCTCAAGAACTCTAGAAGGTGTAGCGGTCGGAAGGAGTTTACAATTACAACGCTGATGAAATGCTCTCTACGTTCGTACGCATATCGTTCCTATCAGTCCTCATCAGTCGTTATCACTTTTGACCCCCACCAAATATGTTCCCCGTCCCACCCCCTATATCATGCCCCAAAATCAGCTCCTGACGACTGCTGCGAAGCGCACTATGAATTTCGTGAAATTTGTGTTTCAGCGCCTCTTATCTGCTCTTATCAGTCGTTATCACTTTGTGACCCCCACCAAATATGTTCCCGTCCCACCCCCTATATCATATCAAAAAATCAGCTCCTAACGACTGCTGCGACGCGTGCTATGAATTTCGTGACACACACACACACACACACACACACAGACAGACGACAGACATAGCGCTTTTATAGTAGGGATAGCTGATTGTCTAATCTTCACAATCGCTCCCTCTGATCGTTTACGACGAGGCTACGTCGTCACTGGACGCCATTACAGAGGCGAACATCATGCGATCGTTAAAAGATGCGGTTCAAAAAAGGTTTGCAATGTTGTGAGGCGATGTAAGCTGAGTACCTACATAACTCTTTTTACAAGAACCTCTCTCTTCATTGCTCATCGATTAGCTACGATATTTGATGCCGATATAATATACGTCTTAGACCAAGGGCAAGTGAAGGAGTTCGGCTCCCATGACGAACTCATGCGACGCGGCGGATTGTATGCTCAACTCTGGAATAGTCAACATCGATTAGGAATACCTGTACCGGTAAGGATTCCCACCCAATCTTTTCTTCCTTAATTTGGAGCTTTTTTGACCTCACATCTCTTACTTCTTTATTTAGCCAAAGGAGCCACAGAAGCACGACCACTTGGAAACATTG